GACCCAGGACAGGTCTGCAGACCCAGGACAGGACTGCAGACCTGTTGAGTCTGCAGACCCAGGACAGGACTGCAGACCTGTTGAGTCTGCAGACCCAGGACAGGACTGCAGACCTGTTGAGTCTGCAGACCCAGGACAGGACTGCAGACCTGTTGAGTCTGCAGGTCACAGAGTCTAACTGTATGTTAGTTAAAGTCAGAGCAGTTTGGACACTGACAGAACCTTGGTTCTGACCTGACTCCAGGTGGGTTCATGTCCTGACAGGTTTTTAAACCCTGTGAGGTTTGCTTTGGATCCTCGTGGACATGGTCTGTGCTGGACTCGTTAGGACCCGGACTCTCCTCTAACCATGTCTTGTTTCCTGTGTTGCAGCTTTCCGAGAGCCAGCCCTGCAGTGAAGATGAGAACATGGTCCCAGTACTAACGTCCAGAAAAGCCAGTGAACTCNAGCTGTGTGAAGAACAGGAGCTATCCTGTCTGAAGGGACTGGGACCAGTCAGAGGGTCCAGGTTTAACCTGAGTCTCTTCAGTCCTGATCTGAACCTCCACATGCAGCTGATAAACAGATTCTTCTTCTGGACTTCTTGGACCCATGGGAGGAGGTCTGATCCTAGTTCTGCTGGGACCTGGATGTGTTCTGGCTGATGTCGGTCCAGTGGGTCGGTGGTTCAAGTACCGACTGTGGAGGAACTCCTCTGGTTCTCAAACTGTGTCAACATGGAGCTGAGCTGAGAAATACCAGGACCTGGGTCTGTAGACCCAGGAGAGGACTCCAGACCTGTTCAATCTGCAGACCCAGGACAGGACTCCAGACCTGTTGAGTCTGCAGACCCAGGACAGGACTCCAGACCTGTTCAGTCTGCAGACCCGGGAAAGGACTCCAGACCTGTTGAGTCTTCAGACCCGGGACAGGACCAGGACAGGACTGCAGACCTGTTGAGTCTGCAGACCCGGGACAGGACTGCAGACCTGTTGAGTCTGCAGACCCGGGACAGGACTGCAGACCTGTTGAGTCTTCAGACCCGGGACAGGAACAGGAC